CCATGGCAAAACTATAATTTGATTCCTCTCTCCTCAGCTATTTTTGGATTTTTCAGCACTGAAATTAGCATAACTCATATAGACAGGAAGCTGTTGCTACAACACTAGAGAATGGTGCTTGGAAATGAAAACCAGTCTTTGATTAAAAGAATAAAGTCAAAAACCCTTTCAAAGAAAAATACCCCCCCAAAAAGTCCTATCAAAAGAATGCTCTACACCTTTACTATCACTTAATTTAGGCAAAAGACAATGGGAACACTTTTGTAACTGCATTGCTTAATTTACCAGAAGTTTCAGCAATGGCAAAGAAATAAAATAAGTTCTTTAAATAAAAATAAATAACAAGAAAATTCAATAAATAGAAATTGAAGTTTTACTACGTGATGCACATCTTGAATACCAGAGTATAATGAGACATGATTAACTGGAATAATCCAGGAAGTCTTCAACCAAAAAGTTATTTGGCACCCCTACAAAAGAGGCGAGATGGATCTCTATAAAAATCCAAGGAGTTCACTGAGGATCAGACACAAACTTTAAACTAGTTTAACTGTGGGAATCCAGGGCTTCCCTCTGGCTGCTCTGGAAGGCCTGGGACCCTGGCAGGGTGTCAGGAACCCCCCTGGACAGAGCCCCGAGAGACACTGTCTCTGATCTCTGTCCATGGAAAAGAGTTTTCAATCTTACAGGATGAATTACAAGCTCTGAGTGTTTGATATGAGTAATAATTAAGTGTGGCACAGGTACAAAAGTAAAATTTTAGGTTTCTAGATTAGGGGTTCAAAGGGGACAAGATGGAGGAAATTGGGTGTGCCTTGTCCTTTTCCTCCTTCTTCATGCCCTCCATGTTTCACTGTAGTGTTGGCATTTTTCTATTGGTTTAGGCTGGGGACACACTGTTCAACGTAGATGACAGATATTGGCACATTATTGTAAATATAGCACAGGTAGTTTCTGGTATATAATGTTTGTAACATCCCGCTGAGGGCAGAGCCCCACACGCTGCCCTGCAGGACAGACCTGCGGCAGGGCAGCAGAACATGTTAGAGATAAGCAAGAATAAATAACCTTGGAAACAGCACAATGAATTATGGCTTCTTTGGCAATGGGGCAGAAAGACAGAGATTTTCTACAATCTCGGAATCATCAATACCCACAGATTCCGACACGTAACTACATCAAGCCTTCTCTAAACCCAGACCTTTGCCTAAAGAGGAAATGAGTCCATGTTAAATGCCTTCTGTGTCCCTAGTGCTGGGGAGCAGGAGATGAGGGGCACCTTATGGCAAGAGTGTTTCTCTCTCCTCTCTCCTCACTCCTCTCTTCCTGACAGAAGGTCCCAGGATACCTTATTGCCCTCCCAGTTAACCCATCTCATTGCCCCTTTGCTCCCCTCTCCCCAGTACAAATCCAGTGTCCTGAGTGACCCCAAACAGGCATTTAGGACTGCAGTGAAAGCCACCAGCCATTCCACCACAGATATTTATCTCCCCTCAGTGTCCTGTTCCCTTCTTGTTTAGTAAATTTTGTTTTGATATAAACACCTCTTCAAACATCTTTCCCATCAGAAAACTGAAACATGCCAGGCGTGGATTGCCTTCTAAAACTACTCTCATCAGGTCATTCACAAGTGGTATTTTTAAACTCCTGGCAGGCTGAACAACAGACATTACAGACATTACACCCACCCACCCATGGCCCGTTTTTGTCTTTCGAGAGGCTGGGAGACATCACACACACAGATGGCAGGTTTGATAGTAGCCTGAACCTTTGTGCTGGCACAAATAACACACTCTCCTCAGTATTTATTTCTATTTGAGTATTTCTATTTCTATTCTATTTGAGGCAGCTGCACAGAGGCAGTATTTCTATTTCTATTCTATTTGAGGGAGTTGCAGAGTTGAGGATGCACGAAGCAAGGGGGAAAACATGAGGGGAGAGGGGAGCAGTCACCCAGAAACTGGGGACACAATGCCACGAGGAAGGTACAGAAACTCTTCTGTGCCCTGAAAATCCTAAAAGCAGATTCCTGGTTCATGCCCAGTTGCTGTCAGCCAAGCCAAAGTGCCCTGAGAGCTGCTGTTCCCAAGCTCCCAGGGACGAAGGAAGCTCTCTGAAATGCTGACTTGGAAGCAGGGTAAGAGAGGCCCGGGAGCAGGACAGGCATATTTAGCTGTACAAAATCACACTTGGATTTTTCTGATCCCTGAGGAAAATACACCCAGCATCAGAGCTGAAAAAAGTCACACACTACACGGAACAGCAGCAGAACCAGGACCATGACAGGAGAGGGCTCAGACCATGCTGCTCCTGAAATAACAAGGAACAGACTAGTTACAGTGTTTCACAGTTCTCCTTATGGACCAAGGCTTGCTGCCTGTCACAGAATCACTTAGGTTGGAAAAGACCTCAGCAACCATCAAGTCCAACCCATGACCAAACACCACCATGCCAACCAGCCCATGGCACTGAGTGCCACACCCATTCTTTCCATAAACATCTCCAGTAATGGCGATTCCACCATGTCCCTGGACAGTCCAGTCCAATGTTCAACCACCCTTTCTTGTGAGGAAATTCTTCCTAATTTCCAACCTAAACCTCCCCTGGCGCAGCTGGAGTCAGCGTCTTCTTGTCCTGTCACTGGTTGCTGGGGAGAAGAGACTGACCCCCACCTGGCTATACTCTCCTTTCGGGCAGTTGTAGAGACTGATTAGGTTTTCCTTAAGCCTCCTTTTTCTCCAGGCTAAACACCCCCAGCTCCCTAAGCCACTCCTCAACAGACTTGTGCTCCAGACCCTTCACCAGTTTAATTGCCCTTCTGTCATCACCAAATATCACAGCACTCACTAAATAAACAGCCTTGACAAACTCCTTTGTGTGTATTGACATGCCTTTTACATCAGATTCCCCATCACAAATGGACTTGGCTTTTTCCCCTACTTATACTTGCTTCATGGTGCTCCCAAACAGCTGCAGAGCCGCTTCACAGGGCAGGCAGGTTGTAAATCCAGTGAAATGGCACCCATGCATAATATAAAACTTGTTTTTCCCCTACCCTAGGATTTAAACCCATCTACACAGGCAGTTTTAAGGCAGGTGCTTAGCAGAACATCAGAAACAAGGAAGATGAGCCACAATGAGCAGTCCCTGCTGTGTAACACTTCCCCGAAAGCCTCTAGCCATACTGTGCAGCTGAAAGGATTAAGTGAAATAACAACCTGCTCTTGAGAGGCACGTGGAGATTGCACAACTTGCACAATGTGTTTTCAGCAGAATTGCTCTTAAAATCCTCACACTGAACTTCATTTCTTTGGCTCATTATTAAAGCAAATGCACACTACACCCATAAAAATAAAGCACAACTCTGCAGCCCCAAAGAACAGAAGGGTATAGATAAGATCTTTTCAGGTGTGAGCCCTGTCTACCTCTTGCTAGCTTAAGGACTCTTCCTGCTCATTTTCATTCCTCTTTTTAAGAATTTGGTCAAGAAAATAGTTTGAACAATATAGACCATTAGCTGAGTCTGTCTGGCTGAAGGGCAAAAATAGCCATCTTTCAGTCTGAGCTTTAAAATAGCTCCTCCCCAACAGGACTCAAATGATCCCTAGCTGAGCAAGATGTTTATTTCTCTCCCTCCTTTTTAAACATATAATTTCAACCTATGCAGGCACTGTGGTCAAGCATGACACAGTCCAGAGCAGCAGCTCTCAGGAGAGAGGGATGAGAGTCTCTAACACCCTGAGTGCATCACAGACAAAGCTTGATATAGCAGCAGCAGCACAGGGGCAGCCGTGCTGGAGCCTCAGCCCTGTTTGGAGCTGCTTTCTGCACACTAGGAAGTATGACTCGTTCCATACATCCAGGGAATAGCAGCTCTGCTTTGTAATAAAGTAAAAGAATTGCAATGTGGAAGCAGGCAGAACAACTGCTGTATGGAATAAAACACTGGTGATGGAGGGCTCCTGGATTAGAGCAAAAGATGAATTGCAACCACATAGCCTGTATTCAAGAGAACCTGATTTTAGATGCAGAACTGACCAAGTCTCAGGCACAAAAATAACACATAGGTAGACCTTTAACTTTGTGTGTCTGTGATTTTTAAAAGTTTTTAATGGTAAACCACACTTTGTGAGATTTTTCACTAAAAAGCCCTTGGGAGATAACTCAGTTTCAATATACTCACCAGAAGTTCATATGAATTTATTATTATCCTCCATAGATGCTTGCTAATATCAAAAGGACTCCAGGCATTGCCTTTGGAGTCAAAAATGATGGTAGAGAAGAGCAGCCTTTAGAGTCAAAAAAGCCGTGCCAAAAATTTATTTTCCAGAGTATACAAAACTTCATTCCAAATTCACCACAAGAAGCCTCCAGAAGGAAGTCAAGCTTTCTTTCTTCTGAGAAAAGAAAAAAGGAGTAATGTATTAACATTACTTACCCCAGAGATTATGACTTATATTTGTCTATGTACATATCTATATATTATATCTACTATAATTATCAGTGAGTTATTTTTGGTAGATAAATTAATTTAGAAAGAACTGCATGCAAAAATACTTGGGCAAACTTCCTGGGCAGAATTTCTACTATAAGATACCTCAAGAGCCACAACTGATATTCTCCTGCCTCCCCAAAAATAAGGCATAGAAGGCCCCCCACCTTCAGTATTCCTTTGGTGTGGCACAAATGAACAGAACTGGTCAGAGGAATCTGCTCCCTCCTATCCCCAGCACTGTCTCCAAACAGTTTTTCTGCCTTTCTCAAGGAAACTAAACTCCCCATTAAATGCCTCTATGGTCCATATGGACCCCATAAATTATTTCCAGTAGGAAAGGACAAGCAGCCAACATTTCCAACAGGAGTTGCTACAGGCTGTAATCTTTTGAGAATCTAAATAATTCATACAATTCTCTCAATGAAGGCCATTTCATCAGTTCATGAAAGACTTCAGATGCACCTTTTGTTAAGGAAGTTACCGAGATTTCCCTAAATTTCTTTGATCATTTAATTAATGGCGAAAAGGCAACCAGGGATGTGCTTAGAGCCCTCTCAACACCACCTGGGAGACTGTGACCTTCGGCACCTGGAACTCCACAGCACACACACTTCAGCACTGACTGCAATCAGACTCAAACGGTTTCATGTCTATCTCTTGTTTTGTGGTTCATTTTGCTGGTCTTTTTCCCTCTGTAGTAAAAAGAGAAAACACATAGACACACAGCTAAGTATTATATCATTGATAAAATAGCCAGTATACCTGCACAGTTTCTTTATCTACACTAAAACACTTCAGTTCCACCTTGCTTACACTTTTTCATTTTGGGGTAAAGCATATTTGATGGAACAGCCAAACTTTATTTGTAAATCAGAATGAGCACTGATATTAGAATTTACATTTCATTTTAAAAACCTGGAAGTTGATCCCCGGCACGTGGTCTGGAAGCCAATGGCTCAACACCACTCTCTTGTGGGCAGAGATATGAACCCTCTGGCAGGACTGAGCATGCAGAAGTGCAGACAGCTCCAATAAAAACAAATGTCTTTTGAGCCTAGTTTCATCTCCCCCACAGTCAGTTAGACCCACAGATCTTTGCTGCATTTCTTTACAGGCACATTAATAAATATAAGGCAAAATCCTCTGAGATTTTGCTCTTCTTCCTTTGTTTAAAGTGTCTGTTTAGCAGCTGCCACAGTGAGACAGATAAAACAAAGTTTTTTACCTCCCTGTACTCATCTGTCTTCTTTCTTCTATGTTTAATCTTTATTGTTTGCTGCATATCCTCCCTTTCACTTAGCTCAGCAACTGCTTGCTTTCCCTCTTCCCCCTATACTTCACCTCGATGGCACAGCACCTCTTCCTGGTGAGAGAATTACCAATCCACCACTGAAAAGGTTTCCAAAAAGCACATTGCCTGACAGGATGGGACTGGCTGAGGACTAGAGCACAAGGACTGATGGCTCCAAGACAAGCCCAGGCCTCCCAGTGACATCAGAATACAACCAGAGATCTTCTCAACTGAAGCATTTTGTCATCAAAAGCCAAGCTAGAAAATTTTGCTTAATGAAGTATTTTGTAAATACGTAAATATAATGAAGTATTTTGTAAACATGTAACTCTGATAAACAATGCATAATCCCTCAATATCCTCAAAACCAAAATGTTTCCTTCTTTCCTCCCCACTGTCCTGTAAGTCCCAATAAAGCTGTTTAAACACAGAATCAGGCAAAGCCTACAAATCACATACAGTTTTCCAATAATAACCTTCAAAGTCCTACAAATTTTTGCTTCAAGTTTCTGCACAATTCTTCAGTCTGGCACTTTTTTCCTGTGAATTAAGAACTTCAAGGTGAGGTTAATAGCCATTATCAGAAAATCTTATGACAAAAAGAGTTACTATTTAGCTACCATAAAATTAACATTGCTGTACTTGTCCTAATTTCTGGGTTGCCACCTGAACAGTTTTCATTTATCGTATCTCGAACATTGAAAAAAATCACAGCAAGCCACTTATCTTTGATAACCCAGTAAAGCTAATCTGATGGTACAGGACAGCACAAAGAGTTTTGAATAGATTAAACCAATCATCTTTTCAGCATGCACAACAAAAGAAAAAAACAAACGGGAAGTTCAGAAATATGCCCGTTCCTTTCAGACACCGACTGGCTGACAGACAAGCAGAATTTCAACTCCAATAGGCATCAATTTGTTTCCAGGCAAAGAAGCAGAGATAAAAGGGAAAAGGATTTAAATAATTTCTCATGGGCTTTTGACAAAGGGTTTTGTTTTTCTGCTTGGTCTACAGAGTGAGGGCTCAGCTCTGATTTCAGGCTCTTTCATTTTTTAAAAAATTTTATTAACTATAAACTTCACAGTTTGCCACATAAATCATGGTCAGTTTTTGAACATTTCTCACTCTATTTTGTCTAATCAACACCCAATGTCCATTGCCTTTTTGGGTGAACAGAAGAGTAGCCAATAAAACTGTAACTTCAAAAAGAACCAATTAAAATATTATCTAATGTGACTGAGTTTCAGCATTTGCATTACAGTTCTTACCATTCACACAGTTCATTTCATTTTGTTTCAACCTCTCTTCCAGTCATGTCAACACAATATGCAAAGTGTCCTCTTTAGGAAGAGAGGATATTGGCAGAATGGGGAATTTGGGACTGGATCTGCTGCCTTTATAACTGGGAGTGCCTTTACTCTTACATTGGTGCATCCCCTCCACTATTTCTGGACAACCTCCCAGAAAGTATTCCAGTTCAGGTGGAGCATTTTATGGAATAATGAGATGACCAAAAAAAAAAAAAAAAAAAATTATTAACGCTTGCAGAACCAGAAGCCACAAAGCCTCTGCTGCAGAGGCTCGTGGAGGTTTCCACACTCCTCCTCAGCTCGCTCTGTGTTGTCACTATGGCAGACAGGCAGCACAGCCATGGCAACAGCTTCCAAACAGCAAACTCCTCAGTTATGCAAGAGCCTCCTACCAATACTGGGGTTTATGTACCTAATTTAGAGTTTCTACCTTTTTGCAGGCTTACACGCACCATGTGCAGCACACTGAAACAGCACTGGGCAGCTCAGCAGGGACTGGCATCCCCTATGTTCCATTTTCCCCCAGCCAGCAGTGTGGCTGCCCCAGCAGATCCCTTGGTTCAGCTCTTCTGGGAGCAGCTGATGCAGCAGAAACTCTTGCACCTGCTCCCTTTGGCTCCCCTCCCTGCAAAGCACTAAATATGTCTTTCCCACACAGCCACTGAGCTCCACTGGCCCAGAGCCCATGAGCACTAAATTGTCTTTCTGATTCAATTAATCCACCAGAATTCCACCAGCCCATTGCCCCCCACCTCATCCCATGGAAGTGTAGGATTCCTTGCTCCACCAGGACTCAAAGAGTACCATCCTCCTGCACTGACACTTGCAGCACAAGACACCTGCTGAGAGGGTCTGTTCCAGACAGCAAAACACATCTCAGGAAAAACAGCAACATTCTGCAAGGGTCAAGGATCTCCAGTACATCAGTGGCAGGCCAGGAAGGAGCACTTCTTCTATTGCTATGGTACTGTTTCTTCTTTATTCTTAATTAAAAATTTAGAATGCTTTATATCTAACCCTCTGCAACTTTTTTCTACTTACTGCAAAAGCTTTCATAGAGTGTCATCTGTTTTAAGGATAACGCATTTCAGATGTTTATGTCTAGAACAGAAAATGTCCTTTGTAAGAGAAAACAGTGTGTAGTTACTGTGTTTAGGAAGAAAACCCTTATCTTACCACTGGAATAATTATTTTGCCAGTGATCCTGCAAAACAATAAAGCATTATGGCCAACAAGAGCCAAGAAAAGCACATACCTCCTTTGGAACCATACAGTGGTCCAGCTGAAACCCAACACTTCAACAGTCTCCTGAAATACCAGTTTAGGAATCAGTCCAATAGACAAGGGCAAAAAAAACCCAGATTCACCTTCTTTTCTCATACTGGAGAAGAAAGAGAGAGAAACACTGGCTGGTCTTGGAGGAACCTTTCAAAAATGTGTTGGTAGACCTAGTGAAAACATGTACCAAACAAGAGCTCATGAAAGAAATGTAGGATCTGGGAGAGGACAAAACCCACCAACTAATCTCAAAATAATTCTGCCTAATAAGTAAGTCTCATTTTGATCCTCGTCAAATTAAATCAAAGCAGCTCATTGTGATTTGATCTGGTCTTAAATTACAGACAGCTCTGGTTAAAAAAAAAAAAAAAAAAAAAAAAAGCAAAAAACCAAAACTCTAAAAACTCAAGATCTAACAAGACCTAAACAAGTAGAAAATAAAATGAAATGGTAGAAAGGAAACATAAGAGATGAAACAATTACAGTAAGTTAATGTGAATAGTTTATTAAAAATTATTTTAACTTGTCCTGAAATACTTTTGGTTTGGTTTTGATCTTTTTGCACTTATGCCCAGGCAGCTTTATGCAAGGACTTATGCCCGATGGCTTTTGCAGCTGTAAAACTGGCAGCATCAGAGGAATCAATTCTCATTATCAGCCATTTACTGGTACAGAATGAGTGAAATAGTTTTAATGCTTTAATTTTTTTTTTATTATTGTGATCTCTTCTTTTACTCAGATTAGAAATCTGCCTCAAAATCTGCCTTTCAGTTTTATGTGTGTGCACACATGAACCAGCTTCTATATGTATAATGTGCTCATGCTCTCACAAGGGCTTTTGAAATATCTGGAAACAGGAATGTGCTAGACCAGTTGTAATTTAAAAGTATCACACTTATACTTCTATTAAAAATTCATGATTAGTATTTCAAATGGCTGGTGACAATATTAGAATGGCAGCCCTATAGCCTCCTTGCCATGCAAACCCAGTACCCCTAGTTAGCATTGCTTCTCATTTCTTAGTCAAAAACTCTATTTACCCCAAGAAATGTTCCTATTCACCTTTTGGCTAAGTCTTCCTACAGATTTTCCTGTAGAGTATAATGATTTCATTTTCCTTGGGAGATGTCTCCCTGCTCATACTCTTTTTAAAAAGCTTCTTGTGTAATCATTCCTTTCTGACAGTTCTGTTAAACTTATGTGTTACAAAAGCTTGCTTTTAAAAATTCTCTTTTTAGGACATATTTGGAAATTAAAGCAAGAATGAAATGCCTTCCCACTTAGTGTAGAAAATATCGTCTCACAATCCATCATAGGACACTCCAATCAGTGTGGTCAGGCTTCCCTAATAATTTAATACTTATTCAATACCAAATATTTAATTCAAGACTTATACTTCTTATGGGCTGCTGCAGGCTTGCAGCTAAAAATAAAAGAAAATAAAAATGCCCTGTCCTGCCACCTTAACTCAGATTTATTCCAACTACTTTTGATTATTTGAGCAAAGGTGGCAGACACAACTTTTACAGACAGAGACAAGCCAAATTAGAAAATTGCAATTATAAATAAAACACAACACATAGAACTTTTCATTTATAACTCTCAAACTAGTTTACCAAAACAAATATGACAAATGAAAGTTTTTAAAAAGGAGATTCAGTTAAATGACATGCCCAGGTCTGTGTTGCTCACCAGTAACAGAAAGAAATGAAAATCAAGCCTACCTAACATTCAAATCCTTCTTGTCTCAGACACTTACCAGGCCTTCAAATAGCACAGTATGCAGTTTTTAGGGCTTTACATGAAATTGGATTATTGCCCTGTATTTCTGACAAGTTGTCTGCATAATTCTCAGTCTGACCACACTTGCCTTGATCTGAAGTGACTGCCCATATCCAGCCCACTGAGGCATTTTGCATATGCTCATTACTGGCTTTTGTTGTATTCTGCCTTTCCCTCTGAAAACATCTTAGACAACTAACTGTGAATGCCAGAGAGATAATGGATAATTAGTCAAGAGGTAATTTGGAGACTAACTGCAAGGAAAAATGGATTACGTACTAGATATGCCCCACTAATGAGTATTTTGATCTTCATTAACAGAAAGATAATGACATTAAACAGTGTTTAACGGGGGATCTTCCGAAAGCATACACTTTGGGTGACAATTTCCAAGAAAACAGAGAAGCAGGACTGCATCCAAAGCAGGACTGCACCCCGTCTTCAAGCAGCCTGGGCAGTGCTTCTGAGCTTGGAGACCTGCTGAACAGAATTTCACCACTTAATTCTTTCTACCAGACACAGAGGGGAGAAGCCAAGAGACACCTCAGCTGTAGAGGTGCCACAAGCAGGCACTGCCTCAGAGTTCAATAAAAGAGGCATTTTTCACAAAGTGGTATCTCATAGTGGTGGATAAATACTTACAACTATTTGTAAGTATTTAAATACTAACCTATGTCCATTCACAGCTCTGCCTCTCAGTAGCACCCACTGGAATTTGTGAACACAGCCTATAGATTAATCACTGTCAAAGAACTGAGACTAAAGTGTCCTCTAGTTAAGCTGGTCTCAAATCTGAGTTTACAGGACACTGCATAACAATTTTGCGGGTCTTTAGACTTAACAAGCTACAGTAGCCACTACATTGCTTCCATCAGTCATTTCTAGGTCATTATAACCAAATCCTAACTTGGTTTTTTTCATGTTTCTTGCAGAAAGGAAACCTCTAAGCCCTACCCCTGTACCATTAACTATTGTCCTCTACAAGATCTGGAAAACATGAAGGCTGTAGTCCTCTTCATTTGTCTTGTAGGATTGGTTTTTGCTATTCCAGTAAGTCCTCACCATGCTATTATTATCAGGCACTTAATTTCCCATTCTGAGAATATTCTATGCTTATGGATGTGCAGATATTCATAGATTTGTCTTTTTTAGACCCATCCTGTAAACCACAAGCTCAGAACTCTCAAACAGAAAATTCCAGAAAAGGTACTCTTCTTGTTCTTTAAACAAAAGGAAGTAACTTACATTATTCATCTTAAATATAAAAACATATACATACTGGTTGGCAAATTGATTTATGTTAAAAATCTTCAGACCCTCTCACCTCAATAATTAGTGCCAAGTAGCTCATGCCTTGCATATTACCAATTGCAAACAGGACAAAATCTAAACCTCAAAATGGAAGTTTAACTTATTGACAAAATTACCTTAAATGAATCCCTGCATATCATCATTACCCATATTTGTACAAGAAATAAGCTCCAGCGACAGGAAAAATTGTTTTTATCACAGCTTCAGTATAGGAGGAGGATGAAACCTTCAATTTATCCCACCAGAGCCTCAAATATGTAAGGACTTTAGCCACCATATGTTTCATTTTTTGTGGTGCAGAGCACTAGACACAGCTTATCCTGGCAGAGTATTCTGTGCCTGCTAGGCCAGATGCCCTGATGGCAATGAGACAGAGGATTTCACCAGCCCTCCCTATGCCACATATGTGTACTAATGGCAGAGCCCACAGTTTTGCATTTATGACTGAACCAAATAAAAATTCCTTTTTATTGCACTGTTCTGGCGAGCCTTTGTGACTCAGACTCAATGGATCTTGTCTCCAAACCACTGGGTGTTTCAGAACTACTAAACTGAGATCATGCTCTGTAGTAAGAGATTCAAAATCCCAACTCTTATGCTAAACATTTTTTAATTTTTTAATTATAAACTATACCCCACTCTGTACAGCTTTCCAGATACATTTCATATCAATCTGGATCATGCTCTGCACTACGAAAACAAAAACTAACTTTTCCTAATGATGTATCCAGCAGAGGAAATGGTATAAAGATTAGCTTGCAGCCTACAGCTGTCTACCAGAAATAACACACGTAAGACATTTGCATCCAAACAAAACATTGCAATAGCCAATGAATCATCAGTTCCAA